AGCTTTTCTTCTGGACTCTTAAACCTTTTAGGTTTGGAAGTAATTTTGCTCTATCAAGATTTGTGAAATCAACTTTTAAAAATTGAAACAAGGTCTGTATTTCCATATGTGCTATTTCTCTCATACTGTGCTTTTGATATGAAACGAGGGGATTATGGTGTCGCTGATCTCATCGAGCTGCTGCTTTGATTCTCTAAGGTATCATTATATGTGCAAGTGGGTAGTGAATTCATGTCCCCGAAATAGGGAATAGGGATCTGTTTTTAAGGTGTATCTTGACTTTATAGGGAGGTGAGGTTTATCATTTCAGCTCTGTCTCATCACATAGTAGATATGTACATAAAAACCAGTATGAGTTTTCATTCCAAAAATAAATTTGCCTCCATTCCAGTATGTTTCGATATCCATCCTCTCCAGAAACGCGCAGCCCTTGCATATCAAGGTTAGTGGGATATAAAGGACTCAGAAGATGCAATTAAATTACCGGACAGCAGCTGAGAGAGAGAAATACCCAGCGTGCCTGGTACATGCTAGTTCCTAGAGAAGTAAACGCTCCTTCCATCGCTTTGTGTTCTGGTTTCAGCCCTCAGCTCACACATCCACCTCTCCTTGGGCTGTCGCCTTCTCAGGTCCCTCGTGCTCACTGGGGACGTACAGGCCTGGTACCCAGATGGAAAAGCACCGGGGCACAGCATATAGTGCAATAAGGGTAGGCCATGTCTCGGCGCAGCGGCTCTGGGTCCCGGGCTGGCAGCCAGTGCATGCAGGCAGGAGGAGCATGTTCTCGCCCAGGAAAGCTGTTCGTCGATGCTCTCAAGTCCTTGCGACGGGGAAGGAAGCATGACACGCAGGTCACATAAAGGCTGCACAGCTGCAGTCCTGCCTGTCCCGCGTCGCTGGAGTGCCAGTGCCGTATTCACCGCTGGTGAATAAACCACCTCTCCAGTCTTCAACAGGAACGTATTCGCTCGGGGGAATACCAGTAATGCTAATCCTCTGTCTCCCTGTGATAATAGCTGTAGAGCCGGGTGGGGAGGCATACCTTCGCTTTGGTTTCAGAAACTGTAATCGCGATCAGACCATGAGGATGCTCTCCATTACCATAGAAACGAACTGAAGTTTTTTCACAAAACCCGTTAAGTTTTGGAATCCGCTTTACAGAGTCAAGATGCTTTTTCAGGGCGTCCAAGTTGGGTGTAATTAGTGGTAAAAAATAAAGCACCAAAAAAGAATTAAAACATTAGATCCTGTTTAATTAAACAATATTTTTCTGGAAGCAGCTTGCATTTAAGCTGATTTTTTTTTTTTTTTTTTTTCACTATAATTTTCATGAAGCCGCATTCATTTAAATCTCCTTTTCACTGCTGTTGGCAGATGTTATGCATGCTGGATTGGGAAGGCACAGTTGAGTTCAGCTCAGAATGATGTGAATTAGCGGTGTTCAATTGAACGGCTGAGCCAAGGCCAGCTTTGAGGTGCTCTGAAAACTTCAATGTGTCGTTCATCAAACGCAGAGGATGGCAGCTCTGCTCTAGCTTTCCATATGAAAGCTGCTCTCAGGATATTGCTGTAATAATGTTCCCCGGTTGACTCCTGCTCTCCTGAAGAGAAACCTGAAGCAGTGAGGAAGGAAGATAGGTATTTTTTAAGCTCAGCAACATTTTGAATCCGTGTTTGTCACATCGTGTTTGCTTCTAAAAACAGAGGGGTCTACCAAGACACAGCGCTAAACAGCCCTAATCCCTTTGTCCTCTTCTGCAGTACGTCCATTGAAGATTTAGGAAAAACAACTCATGATTAATTCACATAAATGTCATCTAGGGAGAGGAAGAGTGCTTTGACCAGTGAACGCATCTCCTACGCAGGGACAAACATCCATTAAAGAGACCGGATAGCTCCACTGAGAGACTGGATAGACCCGGGGACTGGGAGGGAATATTCATTTTTAACCAAGTTCGTTCCCCTGCAATGCTTCGATTTAACAGCTGCCGCTATGCTTCCCAGTTCATTTACTGTCGCTTTTATTGCACCATTGATGCATTTGTGATGAACTCTGTGGCAGAAATGCCCCCGTCGGTGCCCCTCTCCAGAGATCTGTCTCCACCAGCCTGAGAGGCGGGTGTTGAATCCCTCACAGCGGGGATCTCGCTCCTTGTCTGCAGACAAAAGCCTGGCGCCTGGGAGGCGATGCTCTGGTCACCTGGGCAGGGGGGGGAAGACCCGGCCCTGCGCGCGGGCCCAGGTAGCCAGGGAAGCCATGCAGATTGG